GATTCCCCACATTTTTCCACACTTTCGGGGTTCTCGTCTTCCCCCCCCCCCCCCCACACTTCCCAAGTTTTCCCATGGTTTCCTGGGAGTCGACGATTACCTGTGTCTGTGTGTGTTTTCCCCCTCCTGATGGGGGCCCATGATGGCCTCAGGTCTCCGACAGTTGGCCCCACGGCAGCTTTGGAACTGGATCACGGTGTCGTTTGTAGCGGATGGTGCCCAACTCTGCGGCTGGCATGCCGAAAGGCCTGGGGAGCGGCTGGGGTCATGGCTGGGAGGCGGCTCAGATGGTGACCACCACCTTCCCCCGCACGTGGCCGCCCATGAGCTTCGCCGCGGCCCTGTGAAAGTTCTCGAACGCGAACGCCTCGACGCTCGGCATGCGCAAATCGCCACGGTCCGCGGACTCCGCCATCTCGAGAAGCGCCCGACGCGGGTCCACGACTGATGTCGCGTCCACGAACCTGTAAGAAGGCGCTTGACCGAGCATGTTCAGAGCGCGGTTAGCGGCAGGAAAGAGGGTGAACTGGTTGAATATGTTCCCGGGTGACAACGTGAAAGACGGATCGAAAAAATTGATGGACACCAGCGTGGATGATGCCGGCAGCCAGCCAGACACGCTGTCCCAAACGCTCTGACCTCCAGCAGGGGATACGTCCCAGACGTACGCCGGCGCCTCCGAGTTCCCCTCCCTGAACGTGCGCGTCCAGTCACCGAGCGTGTAATCCAGCACCTGTCTGGACCCACCCGATGGCTGGTACTAAATGCCGTCAATCTCCTGTGCGGGGCACGTCCACGCAACAACTGTTCCGAAACTTTCGGGACCCACGCGCCCTGTACCGCCCCCCGCGCGCAGCTTTTGTGGGGACGTCGGCGCATGAACCCAGAAAACGTTTCGGAATAGTTGCTATGGACGTGCTCCAGGCTCAAGCCAGACAGTCCAAGCCATTGGGTGAGTCCCGAACCTCGTCCGCGCCCAGCCCGCGAACGAAGTCGGCGTTGCGGCCCGAACACACCGCATATCTGCCACCGTGCCTGCCCGGTAGTGGCGCCGTAGAATGCCTGCTAGCTTCTTGGGAGGTTTCTTGGTCGCTTCAGGGGCTGCCCGCCCTTCCTCCCGCGTCTCATGGCTCCTGGCGCGAATCGTCCCCCGCTCTCGGCAGCGAAATGAAGAAACAACGGGCCAAGACGATCAACAACGCACCTACACAGTTTCCAAACCGGCGCAAGAGGGCCACGCCGATGACCAAGATGCCTCCAGGATGGCTGTAGATGGTGCAAAAGACCTCGAAGACTGCCCACGAGACCCCCAATACGCCCCCAGGCCAACCCTGGGAGACCAGCATCGTTGAAGCAACAGTAGTCGTTCTAGTTCCAAACCCTCCTGTGTGTCGGGTTCTCGTTTTGAAACCGCAGCGCTGTGCGCGTCTGCTTCTCCTCCTCCTCCTTCTCCTCATCCTCTCCCTCCTCCGCCCTCCACTTCCTGATCATCATCGTCTTCCCTCTTCGAATTCCGGCACGCCCTCACATGTTTCGCAGTCACTCAGGGAGCTCCACCTACGGCCCCAGCGGATGCGTTCGCATGGCGTCCCCGCGCTCATTTTGGCACACCCCTCACGAGACTCGTGCCCCCCAGGGAGCTGCACCTACTGCCCCAGTGGGTCCGTTCGCATGGTGTCCCCGCGCACATCTGGGCACACCCCTCACAAGGATCGTGCCTCACAGGGAGCTGCACCCACAGCCGAAAGTATGATCAAGAAACTTCTCATTCAAGAAACCTGGGCCAACTTCCCGGAAATTTCTTCAAACAAGCCTGGGCAAATTTTGTTGTTCACGCCGGAGGGGCGAACGTGCTCATGAAGTTGGGCCAGCTTTCGGGCAAGTTAGTTGAGAAACGCTGGCCCAGCTTTTCGGGAGGAGGTTTCTGAATCAAATGCTCGACCGTATGGCCCCAGCGGGTGCGTTCGCAGAGCGTCCCCGCGCCCAGTTCGGCACACCCCTCACGAGAATCGTGCCCCACAGGGAGCTGCACCGATGGCCTTGGTGGGTGCGCTCGCATGGCGTCCCCGCGTCCATTTCCGCTCCTCACGAGAATCGTGCCTTCCAGGGAGCTGCACCTACGGCCCTAGTGGGTGCGCTCGCATGGCGTCCCCGCGCGCATTGCGGCACATCCCTCACGAGGATCGTGCCCCCCAGGGAGCTCCAACTACGGCCCCACTGGGTGTGCTCGCATGGCGTCGTGCGGGTGCGTGCGCGACTGCAGAGCGTCCAGCGTGGCTCGGCGTGTCTGGCGAAGCATCCATGGGTGCCGCCGGCACCTCAGAGTGTTCCTGTGCGTTGAACGATCATGTTCGCAGCTGCCTCGCTGGCGCTGCCTGGGCGGCGCGCACAGGGGGGTGGAGGGAGGGGGGGGGGGCTTCTTAGAAGCTGCTTCTTAGAAGGAGCCGGCCTTACGTCTGTAGAGAAGGCCGCGCCTTCTAAGAAGCAGGGGTGCTTCTAAGAAACCCTCCCCCCTCCCCCCACCCCCCTCTGCGGAGTGGCCGAGTGGTCCAGTTCATAGCTGTCTCTTTTTGGGAGCAGGTTGGGTCCCACGCCAGGCTAGTTACTCCCAACCATCTTGGGGTGTCGTCTTGAAGCAGCAGCGCCCCGCGCCTCCTCTGCCGGTCCTCTGGGTCCTCCTCCCCCTCCTCTGGGCTCCTTCCTGCCCCTGCCCTGGCACAGGCCTCCCACGCTTTTGAAGCCCCATAGGAGCTCCACGGAAAGCCGAAATCGAAATGAAAAAGTCCGCATGCGGTCGTAGCCGCATTTCGCTCGCCCCTGGCACGTTTTCCAAGCCCCATGGGAGCTCCACAGAAGGCCGTCAAGAAAACGTCCGCATGCAGTCGTGGGCTCATGCCGCTCGCCCCTGCCACGCAGTTCAGGCTAGAAGGCCGACGTGACAAGTCCGCATGCAATCGCGGGCTATTTTCGCTGGCCCCTGCCGCAGCTTTCAATCCCCATAGGAGCTTCACGGAAGGCCGGAATGAAAACGTCCGCATGCAGTCGTGGGCTTGTTTCGCTCGCCCATGCCACGATTTCCAAGCCACATGGGAGCTCCACACAAGGCCGGCATGAACAAGTCCGCATGCAGTCGCGGGCCATCTTCTCGCGCCCCTGCCACGACTATCAAGCCCCATGGGAGCTCCACAGACGGCCGAAATTGAAGAGTCTGCATGCAGTCGTGGGCTCATGTCGCTAGCCCTGCCACGCTTTTCGCGCCACATTGGAGCCCAACAGAAGGCCGAAATGAAAAAGTCCGCATGCAGTCGCGGGCTCATTTCGCTCGCCCCTACCGAGTTTTTCAATCCCCATGAGAGCTCCACAGAAGGCCGGAACGGAAAATCCGCATGCAGTCGTGGGCTGGGTTCATCGTGTCGCTTGCCCTGACCACGCTCATGTCGCTGGCCCCTGACACACCCCTCACACGTGTCGTGGCCCCGTAGGGAGCTACCCCTCCTTCGGCCCACCTGCCTTGCGGTTCTCACCACTGCATCCGGGTGGGTCCTTCGCCGGGCAAATGTTTTTTCCCAACCATCCTGTGTTGAGCTGGGTCCTAATTTTGACTACGCATCGCCCCGCGTCATCTCCTCTCCTCCTCCCTCCTTCCTCTCCTCGCTCTTCCCCCTCTCTGCTTCTGCCCTCCGCATGGCATCGCGGCACACCACTCACACATATTTCGCGGTCCCATAAGGAGCTCCACCTAAGGCACAACAATCGGCGCCCGCATGCCTCGTCCACGCCATGTCGGCGCACCCGTCTCACGTTTCGTGGCCCCATGCGGGGCCCCACCTTCAGGCCCAAAAGTCTGATCCCGCATGCCTGGTCCACGCCATTTCGGCGCACCACTCACACGCTTCGTGGCTCCATAGGAAGCTTACGCTAAGGCCCACGAGTCTGCGCCCGCATGCCTAGTCCACGCCATTTCGGCGCACCACTCACACGTTTCGTGACCCCATACGAAGCTGCACCTAAGGCCCAAACATCTGCGCCCGCATGCCTGGTCCACGCGATACTGGCGCATTCCACACACATTGCGTGGCCCCATCAAGACCTTGCCTGATCCACAACATTTCGGCGCACTGCTCACACGTTTCGTGGCCCCATAAGGAGCTCCATCTACGGCCCGAAAATCTGCGCCCGCACGCCTGGTCCACGCCATGTCGGCGCACCCCTCACACGCTTCGTGGTCCCATAAAAGGGCTCCACCTAAGGCCCAAAATCTGCGTCCGCATGCCTGGTCAAAGCAACTTCAGCGCACAACTCGCATATTTTGTCGCCCCATAGAGGGCCTCCCGGGGCCCAACAAGTCAGCTCCCGCATGCCTGGTCCACGCCATTTTGGTCTGCATGCCAGGTCCGCACCATCTCGGCGCACCCGTCACACGTTTCGAGGCCCCACGGGGAGCTCCGACTGAGGCCTCCGCATGCTTTCTCCACTCCATGTCGGCACCTCCCCCCCCAGTCGTTGCGCCCGCATGGCTTCTCCATACCGTTTCGGCGCACCCCTCACACGTTTCGTGGCCCCATAGGGAGCTCCACCGAAGGCGCCAGTGGCTGCGCTCGCATGCCTTGTCCACACCTTTGGGACTGGGCAGAGATCCGAAAACTAACGAGGGGCTCTCAGGCCAAGCAGGGCCGCATGGGGGACGCGACTGGCGCGCTCGTGGACCGCGACCAACGCGCGGACACGCTTGCGTATTCCTTTCCTGTGCAGTGGGCTGTGCGGCCGGTGAACGTTGTCGACGACCCGTCGCCGATTGGGCCGGACCTGCCAATGAAAAGTGGCCCAGTTCTGTCTGACGAGGTCTGCAGCGCCACGAAGATGTTGAAGCGGAACAGAGCCTCTGGAGATGACGATATGCCCAGTGAGTTCTGAAAGGCGATCTGCAGGCCGGGCACGGCAGCGTGCCAGTATGCAACAAGTGCTGGACCGAAAAGGAAGTCCCTGACGCCTCGCACGAGAATATGGTAACCGCCCTGTTCAAGAAAGGAGACCCAGCTGTTTGCGCCAAATATAGACCCATGCAGATCGGATACACATTGTGCGCCATTGTGCTCCTCAACCGCTTGATAGACGCCGGTGCGGAGTGGCGAATTTGGGGCACCCAATTCGGGTTCCAGTCCAGCCATGGCACGATTGACGCGCTGTTCACATCTCGATGTCTGATAGAGAATATTTGGGATCCGCTTTCGGGCACACTTGTGACCCTGGCGCTAGACTGGGCAACAGGCGTTCGACAGCGTGATCCCTGATAGCCTCGTGCAAACACTTCGTCCGCATCGGAGCGACGCATGAGTTTGCAGAGCCAGCTCGAGTTTTATACTCAGACCAGACCTTCCGAGTACCTGGCGCTGGGACGACGTCGCCTGTGTCGCGAGCTCAAGCGTTCGGCGTGTCCCAAGGATGTCATCACCATTTCTATTTTCAACTGTCATTACAGTTCGGATGCACGACGCAAGCCGAACGTTCCAAGCGCGCGGGCTTGTCCAAGATAGTGAGATCCCTGTCCGTGAACATATATGGATAGGAAAATGCTACGCTTGTGGCTGGAGTGCGAGATGTATTCACAAGCACGCTCACGTACGAGATTCAGCAAGCTGGATCGAACTACGGCCTCGGCTTCAACTGGGGCAAAATCGAAGTCATGCCTGTTCGCTGCGAGACAACCCTCGCCAGGCCAGATGGACAGTGCGTCCTTGACAAGGAGAGCATGGTTCATCTGGGCGGCTTGCGGAATGCAACCGGACGGAACGGTCCAGAACTGAGTCGCCGACTCGGCATGGCAACTGCCGACTTTGAAACTAAAGTATGGAAGCATGCCCAGGTGACGTTGCGGAAGAAAGCGGCGATACTTGAATATTGCATACTGTCGAGGTTGCTGTGCTGCATGCACACGCCTTGACTGGACAGCGCAGAACGAATTCAACAAGTTTGATGCATTCCAAGCCCGTTGCCTGTGGCGGCTCGCAGGTATGGGTCGTTCCTGCTACAGCCGTGTTAGCAATGCCGCTGTGCTGCAACGTTGCGGGGTGCAGAAATTCAGTTCTGTGCTCATGCTCTGGCACTTCGTCCTGCTGGGCCGGATGGCCCGCATGCCGAACGAACACCCAGTGAGAAGATGCGTGTTCCGCCCCGACTCCGTCGATCTTGTGCTGCCAGCGGCCTGGCGGAAGGGTAGGCCGCGCAACTCTTTGAAGATAAAGATATAGGCGTTCGCGCGCAGCGCTGCAGGCGGCAGAGAACAACTGAACGCATTGTGTGGCAGTGATTCGGCTGGAGTAGACTGGCGCACAGGGGCCAGACATTTCAGCTGCACTGCATGCGTGGTTCCTGTTCTGATGATCAGGCCTCTCCCCGTCTGCTCCGTGCCTCCTTTCCCTTCCTCCCTCCCCTGTGCACACCTGGAACTAGTCGGAGAATTGCCTGGCAGTGGATGGGGTCTTGCTGTACGACTGGTAACACCGTGCGTTTAGGCGTCTATGGTCAAAAGCATGAATGTTGGCCCGGCTCCCTCGCTGCCCCTGCCTACTTGGTGGTGCCACTGTCTCCTCCTCCGCCGTCAAGCGTCGTTCCTCTGCTTGCTCCCCGTCCTGCTCGTCCCCCCGGCCGTCGCCCGGTCGTCGCCCTCCCCCCCTCTTCGCGGCTAGCGTTCCCTGTCGCTCGCTCTCCTCCCTCCCCCGACTCCGGGCTCGTCCTGGCTCCCGGGTGCCGTTCCCTCCTTTGATCCCTGCTGCCGTTGCTCTTCTGGGTCGTCCACCTTGCGGGCTTTGTGGTTGGTGGCCATGGATGGCGTTTCACGGTTTCACGGCCGCGCCACCAGCAGCAGATCCTGTCCCACCGCTCTGCAAGTGCACCTTTGACGTGCACAGCTTCCCTCTTTTTTTGTTTTCTCTCTCTCTCTCTCTCTCTCTCTTTCCCCCTCACACGTTTCGTGGCCCCATAGGGGACTCCACCGAAGGCCCCAGTTCCAGGAATCGCATGCGTGACCGCGTCCATTTCGGCGCACTCCTCAGACGTTTCGTGGCCCCAAATCGGGAGCTCCACCGAAGGGGCCAGTGGCAGGAATCGCATGCGTAACCCCGCCTATTTCGGCACTCCCCTCACACGTTTCGTGGCCCCAGTGGGAGCTCCACCGAAGGCCACAGAGGCAGGACTCGCATTCTAAGGGGTTCCACCGAAGGCCCCTGCCGCATGCTGCCACCCCGGTGCCGCGCCGACAGACGCGCAGGTCAGCCGTAATCCAGATGTAGCCAGTTACGGCCGAGCTTTGCGATCCCATCAGCAAAGTCGCGCCGTCCTTCCCACGCATGCATTAGTTCTTTTGCTAGCCCCTCCTTCAGTTTCCACCTGTCTTGCGGTGCTCGCAACTACAGATGGTTGGGTCCTTCGCCAGGCTAATTCGGCTAATTTCCGACTCGTTTCTACAGCGCCACAGAGATTCCAAAAGGGCCCCAAATGGCCCCCAACTAACCCAAGAGGGCCTCAAGACGCCCCCAACGCGGGCCAAGACGGCCCCAAGAGAGGCCCAAGAGGGCCTTCGGGAGGCCCAAGATGGCTCAAGAGGGGCCCAAGAGAGCTGACAGAGGGGCCCCAAGTGAGCTCCAAGAGGGAGATCGGACCAACGAGCTCAAAGAGGGAGATCGGTCCAAACTTGGTTCAGTGACCCCTCCGGGACCCTCCCATGACCCTCCCGTACCCTTGTGGCGAACGATTTTGGGACAAATCTGGGCCCTCAAAACCAACCCCGAAAGGGCAACGTCGTGGAAATATGCGGGACCTGTCGTCGGATGCCGCAATTCCTGAGCACAACCTGCCTCCTCACTACTCACCGAGCACCAAGCCGCCCCAACCCGACCCGAAGTCGTTGCTGGGCCTGTCAATTTCCAGTGGGGGGGGGGTCATGGACCATCGAGACAACAACGTGGAACCCGTACTCCAGATTTCGTAATAAAAGGGAGGGGGTCTGGACCCTCCAAGACAAGCCATTTCAGACCTCCCCCGTGGGAGAACCCTCCCAAACATCGTCCCCAGACCCCCCCAGGCCCTCCAAGATGGCCTGGAAGAGACCCCCCCCCCGACATGAGACCCCCCTCCCTTTCTTACGAAATCTGGAGTACACCCCCTCGACCCGAAATCCGTGAGGGGGGGGCTTTTGCAAAAAAAAAAACGAAGAATTGCAAAAAAAAACCCTGGGTTATTTTGCAATCCTGGGTTTTTTTTGCAATCCTTCGTTCAAGGGGGGGCTTTTGCAATCCTTCGGACCCTCGGTTCGGGCTGGGGTTGTTCGTCGGCGGCGAGCGACGGGGGGAAGCGAGAGGGAGAAGGCCCTCTCGCGGAGGGCTCGGAAGTCCCCCGCGGCCTGCCGAAATGTTTTCTCTCGGAGCCCTCCTGGAGGCCACAGCGGGCCCCTCGAGAGGTCGGAGGGCCTCTGAGAAGCCCCGCCGCCGGCTGCGAGGGCCCTCGCCTTCGCACCTTCCCCCCCCTCTGGGTAGTCGAAGCCAATCTGGCGCCAATCTGGCAGGCCCAATCTGGCAAACGGGGGCAATCTGGCGAGGGAGCCAACGCGAATCCAGTCTGGCGAATAACCCAAATCCTCCAATATGGCCAGGCCAGATTGGCCCTTGGGGCCCAATCCAGTCTGACAGTCTGGCCTTCGACTACCCAGCCCCTCGCTCGCCGCCGAGCCCGGCAAGTCGCGACGGCCTGCCTCCTCTGCTTCCTGCTGCGCTGCTGCGTGGGCACGGCGGCGGCATCTGCCGCAGGCGGGCGGCTATCCTCGCGGCGCCCGCCGCCCGGGCGGCCTGCAGGGCCAGCGTGCCCACGCCACCGGAGGCGCCCACTACCACCACCTGGGAGGGCGCCCAACCACACGCCCGCGCCGATCACGGCCAGGCCTGCTGTGGTTCTCGCCGTACTTGAAGGGCCGCAGCCCAGGAATAAGATTTCGAGCACCCAGGGAAGTATCGAAACGGTGTCGGACGAGTGCCGCCTCCCAGGGCCCCACGCGTGAAAACCATCAAGTTTCGGTACTTTCTTGGTGGTCGAAACTAGTTCTGGTGATCAAGGCTAAAGCAGGTTGGAACATCACGTCCATTCCCCGTGCGTGTTTCAGCTTCGTGCGTGTATTTTTTCGCAAGATGACCCAGAGTGCTCCTCGATGGTCTCTGCCGAGAAGAAAACCCACACGTCCGAGCGATGCCAAGTCCTGGGCCCAGAATCGGTGTATATGCGGGCTCCCGGCTTGGCACCGATCTTGGGCCCAGGCTGGGCCTGGCCGGGATCGGTGTGATGGTTGGCTCCTTCGAGGCCGCCGACTTGCCGGCGAGGCCCGGCGAGGCCGCGAGCACGACGCTGGTGGTCAGCCCCACGGTGGGCAGCGCGGCGGCGCGCTCAAAGGACCAGGACTTGGGCTTCGGCGCCAGCCTGTCCGCCTTCACGGCCGCCAGGTCGGCCAGGAACCCAAAGCCGTTGCCGAAGACCTCGTCGCCCACCTGCCGAGGCGGCGCAGGGAGGCAGCAGGGCAGGGGCACGCAGCACGCAGGCGGGCCGAGCCCTCCCCGGCTGCGGACTCCTGCGCCCTGTGCCCCTCTGCCCGGCCTCCGACCTGGAGCGAGGAGACCCGCGAGCCGACCCTCTCCACCACGCCGCTGCAGTCGGTGCCGGGGAAGATCGGCAGGGGCGCGACGCCTCCCAGATTGCCGGCGGCAATCTTGAAGTCGATCGGGTTCAAGCCCACGGCCCTGACCCGGACCAGCACCTCGTCCTCCGCGAGCGACGGCTCGGGCGCGTCCTCGACGCGCGCCAGCGACGGGTCGCTGAGGTCGCCGTACTGCCGCAGGATCACCTGCCGCATGCGGCCGCCCTCGGCCCGCGCCGAGCTGGCCGCGGCGGTGCCGGCCGCGGACGCCGCGCTCCAGCCCAGCAGCAGCCCGCGGCGCTGCGCACGCAGGGGCCTCGGCGTCGGCGCCGCCGGGAGCGCCGCCGACGCCGCTGCGCGCGGCCGCGCGGGGGCCAGCGCCGCGGCGGCTGCCAGCGCAAGCCATCGCGCCGCGCGGCGGCACCACGGCCTGCCGGCGCCAGGGCGCACCGGCATATGGGCAGGGTAGGAGGGCGCAGGCCAGGGGCGGCGCCTGGAGCCCAGAGCGGCTGGGAGCCAAAGTGGCTACGGACAGAAGCCATGCGCCGTCGGGGGGGCCCAGAAGGCGCCGAACCTGACTTTTCCAGCCGAGCTTCGGCTGTGGCCGGGGGGAGGGGAGGGGCAACGAGAAACATCCACCTGGGACGTCCCCGAACCCAATACCCAGACATCCCACGTCTCGAGTTGTTCGAGACGCGGGCCCTGGGCCTCTTGACCACTTCCCCGGGACCGGTTTTTCATCCCGAGTCGGTTTTTGGCAGTCCCGAGGCCCGGCGAGGGCCCCGAGAGGCCCAAAAAGACAAACAACCTCCGCCTCGAATTTTTCGAGGCGCCCGACGTCTGGGTACGTTCCATGCGGCCGAGGGCGAGGGGCCCGTCGCTCTTCCAGACGGGCAGAACGCCAAGCCCCTCGCGTCGTGGCGCGAAAGCGAGCAGCCCCCCAATGGAAGAGGAGGAGATGGAGGAGGAGGAGGAGGAGGAGGAGGAGGAGGAGGAGGAGGGAGGAGGAAAATGACGAGCAGGAGGAGGTGGAGGAGCAAGAGGAGGAGGAGGAGGAGGGAGGAGGAGGGGAGGAGGAGGAGGAGGAGGAATGGAGGATGGAGATGGAGATGGAGGATGGGGAGCAAGAGGAGGAGGAGGAGGAGGAGGAGGAGGAGGAGGAGGAGGAAAATGACGAGCAGGAGGAGGTGGAGGAGCAAGAGGAGGAGGAGGAGGAGGAGGAGGAGGAGGAGGAGGAGGAGGAGGATGGAGGATGGAGGATGGAGGATGGAGGATGGAGGAGGAGGAGGAGGAGGAGGAGGAGGAGGAGGAGGAGGAGGAAGGAGGAGGATGGAGGAGGAGGAGGAGGACGAGGAAGACAAGGAGAAGGAGGAACAGGAGGAGGAGCAAGAGGAGGAGGAGGAGGAGGAGGAGGAGGAGGAGGAGGAGGAGGAGGAGGAGCAGGAGGACGAGGAAGACGAGGAGAAGGAGGAGCAGGAGGAGGAGCAAGAGGAGGAGGAGGAGGAGGAGGAGGAGGAGGAGGAGGAGGAGGAGAAGGAAGAGGAGGAGCAAGAATTGCGGGAGGAAGTGGGTGAGACACCACCTCGACTGTGACGGGCGCGAACCGGCACCAACACGTGTGCTGACCCTGCCGCTCTAGCTGAGATTCGGTCGGGCACGTCTTCCTACAGGCGGATTTTGGCAGAACAATGATGAAGGGGCCCTGGGACACACAAATAAATACACACAAATAAACAGATCCCCCTATTTCCCCATATTTTCTGGGTTTCTGTCATCCCCCCCACTGCCCATATTTTCCCAGTTTCCTGGAGGATCGACGATTCATTGTGTCTGTGTGTTTTTTTCTCCCCCCGAAATGAAACATAGTCAAAACATCCGCCGGCCCCCCTGTGGGGCCACCAGGCTGTCGGGCGAAGTCGCTGCTCCCTGCGCCAGTTGCAGTTTCAAGTCTCCCTCCTCCTCCTCCTCCTCCTCCTCCTCCTCCTCCTCCTCCTCCTCCTCTTTCTCCTCCTCTCCCTCCTCCTCCTCCTCCTCCTCCTCCTCCTCCTCCTCCTCGTCTTGCCGCTCCCACCCCACTCCTCCTCTCCTCCTCCTCCTTCTCCTCCTCCTCCTCCTTCTCCTTCTCCTTCTCATCCCCCTCCTCCTCCTCCTCCTCCTCCCCTACAGTCCTGCTTTCTGCTTCCTACTGTAAACTGTTGCGCGTGCCATTTGCATCACGGGCCAAGTGCAAACAGAGCGCGAAGCAGAGACAACGCTGCCAATACAGATGCGTTACAGCGTTCTGCATTGATACAGAGGCGGGGGGCACGCAACGAAAATGCCACGAATTACGGCCCGCAGATCGTATCTTCCAGTGCTGGGCATCCGCCGTGACGGTCTGGACGGTCACGCGGCGGTGGGGAGGGGGAGAAGGAAGAGGAGGGGGAGGAGGGGGAAGGAGAGGGGACCGCATCGGGGACCGGCCTGAAATCGAGGATGGGCTACGTCCCAAAACAGGACGCTGCCTGCACGACCCTCCCAGCTCAGAGGATTTACGAGCAAGAACGCTGAACTGCAAACACCGCGCAAGGATGTCCCAACGGAGTGAGACAGGCAAGGCGAAGAGTTGCGCCCAAATGGCAACTAATAGACTGAGTAGTGGATGAGGCTGTCCAGGCCGTGGGGAGGCGGCAGGCCAACGAAGGCAGTGCGGGCAAGCAGCGGCTCCCTGAAGGGAGCGGCAGACGAGACCGGGCGACACGTCGATGGCCCACCCCCGCGCGACGCCGGGCGCATGGGCCCACTTTCTGCACAAGCGCGGCCACTCTGGCGCACGCCGTGCCAAGATCCCCGGGGGCGGGGGAGGCGAGGCGGAGGGGCAGAGGACGGAGAACAGGACTCGCCATCGCTCGGACGTCCATTCCCTGTGCTTTTCTCGGTTTCGTGCGCGGTTTTTTCGCCAATTGATCAAGGATGCTCCTCGATGGTCCTCGCCGAAGGAAAAATGCACACGTCCGAGCGATGCCAAGAGCAGGAGACGAGGGCGACCGCACGCTTACAGACGGGCGCTCGGGGCCTCCACGGCCGCCGACCGCACGGGAGGGGTGGGGGGCGACTGCACGCTCGAAGCGAGCGCTCGGGGCCTCCACGGCCGCGGGCACAGCCGCCGGCTCGGACAGGCGCCGCGATTCGGAGGGAGAGGGGCGAGGCGGAGGGACGAGGCGAAGGGCGAAGGGAAGAGGCGGAGGGACGAGGCGGAGGGACGAGGCGGAGGGACGAGGCGAAGGGAAAGTCGAGCGCTCGGGGACTCCAGCGCCGCAGACTCAACTGCCGGCTCCGGCGAACGGATCGGCACCACGGTTCGGGGGGAGAGGGAGGGCGAGGAGGCAGAGGACGGAGGAGAGCGAGGGGCAGAGAGAGAGAGGTGAAACGTCTACCTCACCGAGGTGGGCGGCGCTGCGACCCATGGTGGTCGCCACGCTGCCTGTGGCGCACTGCCTGGAGCAGAGCGGTGAGCAGGACAACGATAACATGAACGTACGGGAATACAGCCAACCCGAATAGTAAGGATGTGCGATAAGGATGCAAAGGCCTTGGACGCCCATCTCGGAGCTTTGCGAGCGGGGCGCGGCCAGCAAAAGTGGCGAAGGATGGACTGAGGAGGCAAGGATGCAAAGGGTAGCCTTGCAAGGGTTACCCATCCTTCCTGTGCAGGCTGACTGTACGAGGGAAGAAACGGCACTACGACCATCAGAAGAGCTCCCGGAATTTGAGCACTCATCATCAGAAGAGCAAATTACCTCTCCTCCTCCTCCTCCTCCTCCTCCTCCTCCTCGCTCCCTCCTCTCCCTCCTCCTCCCTCCTCCTCCTCCTTCCTCCTCCTCATTCCTCCTCCTCCTCCTCCTCCATCCTCCTCCCTCCTCCTCCTCCTCCTCTTCCTCCTCCCCTCCTCCTCCTCCTCCTCCTCCTCCTCTTCCCCTACTCCTCCTCCTCCTCCTCCTCCTCCTCCCCTCCTCCGCCTCCTCCTCCTCCTACCTCCTCCTCCTCCTCCTCCCTCCTCCTCAACTCCTCCTCCTCATCCTCCTCCTTCCTCCTCCTCTCCTCCTCCTCCTCCTCCTCCGCCTACCTCCTCCTCCTCCTCCTCCTCCCTCCTCCTCCTCCCCTCCTCCTCCTCCTCCTCCTCCTCCTCCGCTCCTCCTCCTCCTCCTCCTCCTCCTCCTCCTCTCCTCCACCTCCTCCTCCTCCTCCTCCTCCTCCTTCCTCCTACCTCCTCCTCCTCCTCCTCCTCCTCCATCCTCCTCCTCCTCCTACCTCCACCTCCACCTCCTCCTCCTCCTCCTCCTCCTCCTCCCTCCCTCCTCCCCTCTCCCCCCTCCTCATCCCCTCCTCCCCTCCCTCCTCCTCCTCCTCCTCCTCCTCCTCCTCTCCTCCTCCGCCTCCTCCTCCTAGCCTCCTCCTCCTCTCCTCCTCCTCCTCCTCCTCCTTCCTCCTCCTCCTCCTCCTCCTCCTCCTACTCCTCCTCCTCCTCCTCCTCCTCCTCCTCCTCCTCCTCCTCCTCCTCCTTCGCTCCTCCTCCCCTCCTCCTCCTCCTCCTACTCCTACCTATCCTCCTCCTCCTCCTCCTCCTACCTCCTCCTCCTCCTCCTCCTCCTCATCCTCCTCCTCCTCCTCCTCTCCTCCTCCTCCTCCTACCTCCTCCTTCCTCCTCCTCCTCCTCCTCCTCCTCCTCCTCCTCCTCCTCCTCCTCCCTCCTCCCCTTCCTCCTCCGATCCTCCTCCTCCTCCTCCTCCCTCCTCCTCCTCCTCCTCCTCCTCCTCCTCCTCCTCCTCCTCCTCCTCTCTTCCAGGCGAGCGACGCAATAAAAGGAGGAGGAGGAGAATTCCCGGGGGGGGCGCTGGACACGTAAAAAATGCTTGAGGCTCGCGCCTCCGATGCCATACCCCCTCGTACATCACAGAGTGTTCGCGTCCCCGAGGCCATGAACCCTCGCGAATTACGCAATGCTTGGATCCCCGAGTCAACAAACCTGGGTAACTTGCTCAATCGTCGCGCCCCCGAGGCCATGACCATCGCAAAGTACGCCGTGCTCGCATTGCTGAGGCCAAGAGTGCTCCAAGGCGCCCGAAGATGGTTCCAAGACGGCCTAAGAGGGCCCCGAGAGGCTCCAAGAGCGTTCCAAGAGGCTTCCCGACAGAGCCCCAAGAGGCAACAAATCGTCGAACGAATTTTTGTGAAGGCTTTTGGCCTTCTCGCATTTTCGGCTTTCCGACGCTCCAAGACGGCTCAAGAAGCTCCCAAGACCGCCCCAAGAGAGCCCAAGAGGCCTCCAAGAGGGCCCCACGACGGCCCAAGATGGCTCCAATATTGCCCAAGCAGCGCTCAAGACAGTCCAAGAGGGCCCCAAGAGGGGCCCAAGCATGTGACCACGAACCGAAAATTCTATAGTTGTGCCCCGAGATGCCCCCAGGAGGCACCAAGAGGCCGCCAAGAGGCCCCAAGAGGCCCCAACCTCCAAGAGGCCCCCGGGAGGCTCCCCACGACACCCCAAGAGGCCTCAAACCCACAAGCCAGGCACGGTGGCGGGATGGGCCGAAGGCCACTAGGATGACGAATGACGCCAACGTCTCAATATGCGCTGATGATTTCTATGCGCCCCCGCATGATGCTCCCAGATGCGCCAAGGCAGCGCCGAGACGCACCGACGCGACTCTGGTATATCCCATTATGATAGAGAGGGGGCCGGCGGCAGGGGGCGAAGCCCTTACGGAAAATCAGAAACAGTCAACAGAGCAAGGAAAAATCGTCACCATTATATTTCTTTCCTATTCCTGAATATTCCTCCTGTAGGGGGACATGCCTGACTTGATGCTAAGAGCCCCACTGGCGCCGTGGACAGCGACGCGGTGACACTGGCCAACCAGCAGCGGAGACATGGGGCAGCCCAGGCAGCTCAGAGCCCGAACCTACCAGCGTCAGCTCGGTCGCGCACCTCGCCCCCATGGCCATGGCGACCGCCCCCCGAAGCCCCAAGGCCAGGCTCCGGAGACTCGACAGGCTGATGCTCCAAGGAGCGCCCGAACCTCGCTCCTCGAGACAGTCTAGCGTCCACGCGCCCGGGCAGCAATCCCAGGCTCGGGGCCTGGCTGGGCGACTCCGTGGCCCTCGGCTCCTGGCCCGGCGAGCTCTGACAGCGAAGCGCTGCTGGCAGCCAGGACCGTAAGATCATGAGCAGGCTGGGGCCCCATCGGCTGCGCACGGGCCGAGAAGCCGACATGGAAACGCCACGTGGCTCGAAGGCGGAAAAGCACGAGGCTGAAACAGACACGCTGGCTTGCAGGGGGTCGCCGCGGACAGGCTCGAGTCATCCTGTGCGCCGGCCGGGCCTCTGGGAGCGAAGAGCACCCTCCAAGAGCAGGAGCCCCCCCGCCTGCCAAACAGGGGAGCATTCGAGGGTACCCTGCCCCAGGATGCACAAAACCGTCCGACAAGCACGAAGAACATGAGGGCATCCTCCCAGAACCGACCTCGACCTTTTTCTTTTTTCCTCGGTCCGACTGTGCGGCGCTGGCACGGCGGAGCTGTGAGGGTGAATGGGGCCCTGGGACGCACAAACAAATACACACAAATAACAGGATTTCCCATATTTTCCTGTATTTTCTGGGTTTTGGTCTTCCCCCCCACTTCCCATCTTTTCCCACACTTTCTGGGAGATCGACGATTCATTGTGTCTGTGTGTTTCTTTCCTTCCTGAGAGGGGCTCGCTCGCAGCCCTCCGCCTGGAGAGACGGGGCCGCGCCACTGGTGGTGGCCGGCCGGGCGGAGGCGGCGGCGCAGGGGACGCGGCGTCCGCGGCGGGGCGGGCCCGTGGCGCGCTCGGGCCCCGGCAGGGCGGAGGCGAGAGAAGCAGGTCGGACTTTTGTGTCATCTCTCGAGGGGGAAACAGATCTCGAGGACTTCTTAGTCATCTCTCGAGGACGACACAGATCTCGAGGACGAGAGAAGCAGGTCGGACTTCTGTGTCATCTCTCGAGGACGAAGCAGATCCCCCCCGCCCCCGACCCCCGGCCGCGGGTCTGGCCACCTCGGATCCAGCCGCCGCGATCGGGGGTGGATGGGGAGGCGCCGGAGGCCCAGGGAGCGGGGCGGAAGGACAGGCCCGAGGGGCCACGAGAAGTGGCCCCCCACCCCCGATCGCGGCAGCCAGAGCCGCCGAGGCGCGGTATCGCTGCCGCGATGGAGGGTGGGTGGATTTTTGTGCCCATGCTGCTTTTCGGGGGGCAGGAGGCACGGGCTCGAGTTCGACTCTGGACTGAGCCTTGCTTGTGCATACCGATGAGAAGACACATGCAAGCACCAGGACTGGTCTGAGCCTTGTCTTACTGCTGTGATGACAGATGCGAGCCTCGAAAGGCATGACGGACAGAAGATTCATCAATATATCAAGAACACGGGAAACAAGGCGAGTAGCAGTTAGTTCTGGCCAGTTTATTTGGCGCCGATCTGTAAGCGGACCTCGAATCTCAATGCTCCATAGAGAATCAAAGTGCGATGTCACACCTCACATTTCGCTACTGCGACCTAACCAAGGTAGCGCCTCCTCGCATATAACGTCTTGGAAGATTGTGACCGCAAATCGTTCCCGCCAACGAGAAACACTATGGCTACGTCAGAGTGAGGAGGCGGAGCGGCGGAACGGCGCATTTCATATCTGGGCGGGGAGAGCTGGTCGCGGTCGCCCCGTTCTTGTTGTTGATGCTCTTGTTGTGCCACTATGACTCACCATCATGGTCATCATCGTCATTCCTATGATTGTCATCCTACTCACATTACTAGCGCGGGTAGTAGCCTTAACATTTGTCATATGACTCGCATTCTTAATTGACTACTGACGTGCTCGTTTTGATCACATGCTGCCATCCTGATCCGTGTTCATGGTACGGTTGTTGTTACTGTTCCTATGCGTGCTAGCCAGCCATTGGTAACACACAATATGGTTGATCGTATGCCTACCATTCGCAGTCTGATCATTACTCCACGTCTGTGTTCTCCCTCATACAAACATTCGTACCTTATGTGATGCGGACTTCCTAGCTCGGCTCGTGCAATAGGGGTGCCTGCTAAAGATGTTGCGCCCGGGCTGGCGGCCGCGCCCAGACCCTTGGGGGCGCTGCCACTGGGAGGTGTTCACAGATGGTGCAGAAACATGGAAGCAGTCCAACAAGGCCGACATTCGCTTCCCCTGAACCCCACTCCCGGGCCCGCTCATAAAGATTCCGCGCGGATGTTTCACGTGCCCAGCACTTCGTGTTGCCAGGCTCCCTGGCCTGATGCTGATCATCCGTTCAAAACGCTCCAGCGTCCCCGGATGCTGGTATTCCGAGAAACCCACTTCCGGGCCTGATTCCGAGGCCCAAGGACACCCAAATCCGTACTTTGGGCCTCAATTGGATTGAGGCTCTATGAATACAGTCGGACTTGATTGAAAGAGGCACGCGAGAGGACACAGGGCCCTTCCGAGGGCCACATTGCCATAGGAATGTAGGAGGCATGGGTCGCGAGACACAGGACACAAGAGTACTCTGAGTGCGGCAGGGTCGAACTACTCATCAGGGCCGACTGTATGCTCATTTGGGGCCTGTGATCTTTCCTCTTGCCAAGTCGTCGGCAGCGGGGTCGCGCGCGAACACTTTTCGTTCTCTAGGTGGGAGCACGCGTCAATCGCACTCTTCAGCTGCGCCAGCATTATGTACACTACCTCTCCGCTCGCTTACGGTCTGATAGGGGCGCTCAGCGGTAGGGTCCCTCGGGGGGACGCGGCGTACATCGCGTGTCCCTTGCCCTTGCGCTGCGCTGACTTTTCTTGAAAGTTGAGCCCGCACATGTGTTCGCACATTCGTCCAGAACCAGACCGCGCCCGGAAAAAAACGAAACGCCGCTCTCGCAAAACACCACGACGGGTTTCCCTGAAAGCTGCCTTCCTGCGTGGTTCGCATGTTCTGGGATCACCCATCCTATTGGAAGCTGCGCTGCGCGCCGGCTAGCGGAATGTCGCGTTCATCTCAAATCCATGTTTAGGGGGTCACATGCGAACCCTACCCCTACCCCCCACCATTTCTGAGGGGGAGGGTGGGGTTCACTTCGCTCGGGAGCTCCCCCTAATGTTGGTCAACACAATGGCGTTCTCGTTTGGACGCTGCTCCTCTTGTCGCATTCGCCAAGTGCATCGGAGACGGGGGGGCCGCGCGCGGCAGGAGCGCCTTCCGCTCTGCCGCTGAGGAGCCAGCTCCCCATTCTCGCTGAGCCAATATTTGTTCTGATGACGTGGGAGGGCGGGTTGGGAGTGGGCAGGACCCGCTGACTCGTTCCAGCTGGCTGGCTTGACTTCCACTCGTGCTCCTCCTACTCCCTTTCCCCCTCCTCCTCCTCCTCCTCCTCCTCCTCCTCCTCCTCCTCCTCCTCCTCCTCCTCCTCCTCCTCTTCCTCATCCTCATCCGCGTGCCCTCGCTCAAACTACTGCCCCAAGTCCTCCCCCTCCACCTCTCTCTCCCTCCAACTCCTGCAGCTCCTCCTCCCCTCCTGCTTCAGCTACACTCGAGGAGGGCCGCATGGCAAGGGTGGCCCTCGGTGCGCGTCTTCCGGGGAGACGCGGGGGGGGGGGGGGGTCGAACCCGAGCGCCCCAGCCGCTGATGTCGCCCTGCGCTCGACCATCGGGGGACCCCCGGTGGGCCCGCACCACAGGCCACGCCGGCGAGGGGTCCCTCTCTTGCGCGGCCGCCTGCCGCCCGCGGCACCTCGACAGGCACTCTACAGGCCGTGGAGACAGGCGCGCCGCGCGGAGGGGCCCCGCACAGCGCTGCGGCGCGGAGGAGGGGCGGAGGCACTCGCTGGCTGTGGGCGCCGGCCCCCGAGCGCGCGGCAGGTTGCTGACCGAGGTCAGAGTCTCGGGGTGCATCGGCCCGAGGAGCCGCTTCCGCTCCTCGAACACGTGCCTCGCCAGGTCGGAGGCGCCGCGCGGGATGGAGGGGAAGGGAGGGGAGCGGAGAGGCTTCCTCGTCCTTTTCCTCCTCCGCCCCCTTGTCCCTCCCCTCCGTCCCTCCCTCCTCCCTCCCGCCTCCTCCTCCTCCTTCTCCTCATAGGCTGGGGGCGCTGAAGAGGGTTGCCATTGAGAACGAGCGTCCGGTATCCACTGAGCACATCGGCTGGCATGAAAGGGCCGCGGATGCTGAAGGATTGCGACAGAAAGACTGGCGCAGTACGTGAAAGAAGCGGAGGCGCAAGCGGCGCCTGCTCAGCTCTTCTGCCTCCTCGTACCTTCGCATCTTGTGGAGCAGCACCGCGTGATTACTGTAGCCATGTTTCACCACTGGTGTAAATAGGGGAAGGCCCACTCTTACAGAGAACTATGGTGTGACAGCGCGTCCTTAAACCAACGCATCATCAATCTCCTCCTCTTCCTCCTTACTCCTCCTCTTCCTCCTCCTCCTCCTCCTCCTCCTCCTCCTCCTCCTCCTCCTCTACACTCTACTCTCCTGCAGCGGGAATTTCAGTGAGACGTGTAGTGAAGCCTGTAAACCAGCTGTAGAAAAAAAAAACTGCGATACGAGCGGCACCCGGGGATGCGACAGGTGTAGTTTCAACAGTCGTGAGAGCTGTGGTTAGAATTGGATTGCAAGCTGTACCAGTTCCTGTTATAGGATCTGCAGTAGGACCTGTAGTAGACTGTACAAGGAGCTTTACCAAGGATTGTAGAAGAGCTCGTGTGGGACCTGGGGTGCTGGCTGCACCAGGGCCTTCCGTATGGTTATGTTGCTTCGTTCGTTTTCTTTTGTATTGCGATCGACATATATATATATATATATGCTTCTCTACACCTGTTTTTGTGCACTCCGCCAGGGAGCTTGTCAGGCCAGGACCTCTGGGGGCTACTCAGGGGTCAACCCAGGAGTTGGGAGAGGTCCCGTCCCGTCAGCGGCATCCAAGGGCCTCCCAACCCGCCTGGCACAGCCGTGGCGCTTAAGCACCCGCGCTGCGTCCCAGACGAGCTGACACACTTGCACCGCCGGGAGGTTAACGTCACCAACCCCTGAACCCCCTAGCTCTCGTCCTGGCAATCACTCGCGCGGAGGCAGGCACGGCCACGCGCGAGACGGTAGCAATGCTGCCCCCTGTCTGTGGGTGGGCCAACACAGCTACGGAAGATGGATGAAACTCAACCGTTCCCCATCAACGGCGTCGCGCACGCTCAGGTGGACTCCGCATAGGCTTCCTTGGAAGGTTACTATATGCTTCTCTACACCTGTTTTTGTGCACTCCGCCAGGGAGCTTGTCAGGCCAGGACCTCTGGGGGCTACTCAGGGGTCAACCCAGGAGTTGGGAGAGGTCCCGTCCCGTCAGCGGCACCAACCTCCCAACCCGCCTGGCACAGCCGCGCTTAAGCACCCGCGAGACGAGCTGACACACTTGCACCGCCGGGAGGTTAACGTCACCAACCCCTGAACCCCCTAGCTCTCTCCACGGTCCCTACCCTGGCAAAAAGCCGCTCCCTCTTGCTCTTACCTATTCCCTCCACCCTGCTGTAATGAAATGAGGGAGGAAAGGTGGAGGATGGGCGGGACAGACAGACAGGCAGTACAAAGCAAGAACAGTTCATCTCGCTTCTGCTCGCAGTCGGGACGCGAGCAGGCCGCAGCGCCTCCGCTGCGTGGGCGAGAGATTTAATTGAGTGGCCTCGGCGACGGCATCCTGGACATACAAGCGGGCCGTGCGCGCCGAGGCCCATCTGCCTCGGAGCAGCGTCTGCTCCATGGAGCCGTGGCTGCGGAAGTCGGCGGAGGCGCCGCCCCGACGCCAGCTGTAGAGGGTGAGCTTCGTGTCTTGCAGCTCCAGCAGCTCACGCACGCGGCCAAAGGTGCTCATGAAACTGCTTGGCTCCATCCCGAGGCACAAGTCCTGCTTGTGCGCCTGAGCCTTTGCTCTGGCGAGGAGGGCGACCGCTACGCCGCTCCGCGCGAGCACGAACTCTCGGGCACCAGTCTGATGCTGGCTCTTGGTGTTGCGCAGCTGCAGCACGGCCATTTGGCGGAGTGGATACAGCTGTACGTCGGACCACACGAGCGAGGTCATCTCACCCGTCCGGAGGAAAGCGTCGTAGCCTGCTGCCAGCACCGCCGCAGCGCCGAGCTGGCCCACGGCCGCAAATGCCCCTGCGAACGCTGCCGCAATCAGCGGCCCGATCGGCAGCGCTCGCCCAGCTGGCTCCAGGCGTTGCCACCCACGTCTTGGCCAAGCGCCAGCTGTCCCGCAGGTGCCCTCGCACGGGCGGGAAAGCGCGCGTGATGCCTGCGATTGCATTATTAATCTCAAACAAAGATCCTCCGCTCAGCCAACGGCTCTCGATGAAGGCGGCCACGCCAGCGTCGACCTGAGCGGGCGTCTGCGGCTGCCGGTGCTCCTGGATCCAGAAATCAACGACATCATCGACCGCCGCACGGTACCGCTGCAGGGTGAGCGGCGTGACCATCGCCTCCCTCAGCGGTTGGGACCTCGCTGCAGCTCGTCGCGCCATCGCCTGGGCCGTGACCCGGCTCACCTTTGCTGCTGCTTGCGCTGCACGCTTGCCGGGGGCGGCCCTCCTGGCCCTCGCCGGCGGCAGCACTGGGAGCGTGGCAGCGGCGGCCGAAGCTCCAGCGGGACGGCGTGTCGGCGGGCATGTCGTCGGTGTCGCAGTAGCCGTACAGCGGGTACCCTGCCGTCGCGAGGAGCAGGGAGTTGAGCCGGCGGAGCGCTGGCTGCAAAGCCCTCGCGCTCGATCTGCCCTTGGTGCTGACTGCCGCGATCGCTTGGGCATCCAGAATGTGCAGGTAGCGGCAGCGGTGGTTCTCAACTGCCCGGCACCTCCAGCGCGCTCCAGCCACCGCAGCCTCCAGCTCCAGCGCCGAGATGTGCCCAGGCCGCTGCCAGCGAAAGCCTTTGGCGATCCGCCAGGCCCAGAGGTGCGTACGGAGTGCTGCCCGCGGCCACGCGCGGGCGCGGTAGGGCGCCCCGGTGTCAAGCCGGACGTCCGTGCCCCCGCGGTCCGCGACCCGCAGGAACTCTACGATCAGGCTGCGTTCCAACTGCGGGTCGTGATGTCCCGGCTGCTGGAAGTCGGGGACCACGTTCCAGTTCGCCTCGCACGTGCCCACAGCGAGGCAGCTGCTGCCTGGGATGGCGGCCGCTAGCGCCCCCACCTGAGCGAGCCACGAGCCGAGAAGATACATGACAGCCTGGACGCAGAACGTATTCCCGATCAGGGACTCAATGACGCTGTCTCGCTCGGCGGCGGGGGCACTATCTTTTACAGCGGCCTGGAAATAGAGACGGTCGAACCCCATCAGAGCAGCACGCTCCTCAGGCACGGGCAGCCGGCCCCGCTCACGCCTCGCGTCCCAGATGAGGCTGCCGTCCTCGTAGTTGTTGACCTGGTAGCGGTAGCTGTCGGCAGCCCAGCGCTCCGCGGCCAGCACCGAGGCGCGGTTGAGGCCCACGGGCCGGAACGGCGGGTGGCGTCGCGGGATTGGCCTCGTGAAGCAAGGGAGGTCTGCCTCAGGGTCCAGCGTCGACCAGCCCTCCAGGAGCGAGGCACTCAGTGGGAGCCTCTCCACCGCAAGCGAGACCTTGAAGTACGCGGCTTCTCCCACACCCTTGGTCTCGACGGTGGCGTCGGACGCCAAGAACGCCGTGACAGGCCACGAGCACCAGTACAGGCGGGGCCGCCTGACGTGAGTGAGACACCTGGCATCGAGGAACACGGGCGTGACTCCAAGCGCCCTGGTGAACTTTGCCCTCGACTCTAGGGTCATGCTGAACACGTTCTCGACGAACCACATGGTGCGCTTGGGAAAGGCAGCCTCCGCTGCCTGGATCAGCTCGGGGACCCGGAAGAAGAGCCTCGACCTCGACCCCTCTAGGCCGGTCCCCACGACATTGATGCTCGCAAGGTCTTGGCACGGGCTCCCCGCGGTCAAGACGACCCAGTCGGCGTCCCGTGCGTAGCCCTTCAGCATCTCAGTAAACCGCGCCGCGTCGACGGCCTCGATGTTGCCAAGCTCAATCACGCCCGCCCAGCGGCGACGCACCAGTCGCCGGGCAGCGGGCTCAACCTCGCAGCTGACGTGGGCCATCACGTCGATCGGGAGTCTGGAGGCCGCCACCGCGGCCCCAGCAGCGCCTGCGAAGAGCTCGATGAGAACTATGCGAGGGCGCCACCGCACACCACGCACAGGAGCCGCAACTGCACCAGGCCGCAAAGTCACTGCTGATGCTCCCCCTCTCGCGCAGGCAACGCCCTGCGCCGAGAGCCCGGCCGTGTGGCAGATGCCCCCGGCGCGCTCGCTGGCATCGGTCGCAATGACACAAGTGTCGATCCTTGCGCGCAGGTCGGTGTATGCCAGCGGCAGCGCCATCGCGAAGCCCAAGAGCTCGTCGCACATGCCAAGGGGAACAGCCTGCGGGCGCGTCCAGCGCCCAGCAGCCCACACGCTGTTGAGGAACCCCATGAAAGGCCTCCTGAACTCCGCTGCCCTGACGCACCTGCCTAGGATCATGAGCATGCCCTGCGACGAGAGGCCCTGTCTGCCCATGCCCCACAGGATGAACGCCAGCAGCTGGTGAAGCTTCTCGGTCGTGACTCCGACCCGGCCGACGGCCCCGTCAAGACCCGCGCCCATCCGCTCCAGGACCAGCGCGCGGTGCTTGGCCTTGCCGGGGGCGACGCTGATCCCCGAGCGGCCGTAGGCGGCCCTCTGCTCCTCCTGCGCGCAGCTCATCGTGCCGAGGAGCTCCGCGACCATCGCGTTGGGCACCACCTCGCCATGGTCCCAGTCGTCGATGTAGTACTGGATCCACTGCTGCTCGAGCTCCTTCGACTTGAACGGAAGTGGTCGGTCCTTGCGCCACTCGAGCTCCGCGGGAAACCCCGCAGCGAGGGGGCGAGAGCCGAACCCGAGGCGCCTGTGGCAGTGCTGAAACACCGTGACCGCGTTGATCCAGCCCATCGGGATGACGCGCAGCGCGAGGTGTGTCTTCCCAGGACCCGGCACGCCGATGAGCTCGTTCGGGATCGCCTCCGCGAGGGCCATGTACGGCTGCCAAGCCTCGGGCAGCTCGAAGCAGTAGAAAGCGGAGGCTTGGTCATCTGACGACCAGAGCAGCATGTGGCCCTCTGGGAGCGGGATGGCGACCCACGAGGGCGACGCGCTAAGGGTCCCGATGTCGTCCCTCATGATGCGCTGGTAGCTGTTGGCCGGGACCATGTTGATGATCAGGCGCTGGACGCACGCCTGGCCAGGTGACGGCGTGCCACC